CTCTCTCGGTTGAACAAGCATAATGAATGTCATGTTTGACGCAAATTGTTGGAGAAGACTCGACAGGGAATACTTCCTCTTCTTATAAACCGCATTAAGTGCAATCGATTCCGATCGCGGACGATGAGACCCACGGTTAGCGATTAAACTTCACCAACGAGCGCAAAAGAAGTACACGAGGAACAAAAAAACATTTATTACGTGCCCTAGGACAATGTCGTTTTCCCCCTTCCCCTTCCACGTTCTTTTCACGGACAATGATATCGAATGAGAAGAAAATTGTCGTGACGACGTTAATCGTCTTCCAAAATGACTAATGATCCACGTCCAACTCGATAGCTAGCAATTAATGTTGAGTCAATCAATTTATGGTTTCGAAGCTTATAAATGAACATTTCTGATTTCGCTTCGACGTTCTTTCCGCACGTTAGGTTTGTGTTACATGCAAATTAATTTATCGAGTGTACTTTCGAATTGTAAATCAATAATATTCGGTTACAATCGATTTACATTCTGAGGAAAGAAAGGATTTTTCAACAAAGATAACAATGCTGACATTTATATAGTTAACATTTGTAAATAAAACAAACGCCACGACGTATCCGTCGAGAGTGGCATATTTGTAGCGTTTAATTATGCTGCTACTTAATTATACATAACTTCCATGATATTAATATGCAAATGCAGCCGACTACCAGTAATCAAAATTCGCATTTTCATCTATTTATGCAGTTGATACAATTTAATTCCAGGATAAAAATGTCAGCCCGTATTTACATGCCACGCGGTGACATCTAATCGTATAGCTTAGTAGGGGAGAATGAGGTATTACCGATCATGTCTCGACTATGATTGGTACGAATTGAATTCTGTAAGTTTCTATCCTCTGTTGAGGGAAAGAAGCATCAGACAAAACACCATTATCTAAGCATTGTTCACGGTTGAGCTATTGCGAAAAGTTTGTTTCGCTCATTTTTTATGTAATGTAAGGATCACTGCTAGAGAAGCGAGCGTGGTAAGACGTTTATTTATGTTAAATTGTTTCCTGCAATATCACTCAAATCTTCCAATATGCGGTAATAGTATTGATTTTCTCTGAATTGATGGATTACAATGTGGTTAATCTATTTATAAAAACGCGTAATTTGGGTGATGCCGGTACATTTAATCGATATGAAAACAGCGATGAAATCAAAAGGGAACGTAATATCGAACGAAAGTAACACTTGTCAGGCAAACGCGCAAACGGTTAAACGTTATGGTTCATGCTGGAACAGGTTACAATATTTCGTGAGGCGAAATCGGTTAGTTGTTGCCATCCCGAACACGTTGAATGTTTTTCATGATAGAAGATCACGGACTCCGACTTGAGAGCCTTACTGACACGTACCCTGATGCACGTGTCGATGGAAAATCGAAAAATAGGAAAAAGCAACGTGTATTCTCGATGGACCGACTGTCTTCCTATCACTTTTAACTCCTGCTCCTCCTCCTCTTCCTCTTCCTCCTGCCCTTCGTCTTACGCGATCCAATTTTCGAAGCTGCTAAATATAACGCCGTATCGGGCCAGTGGTGGAGTTTGTATTTCTCGTCCTTTCGAGTAAAATCCGATGTATCGCGATATATTTTTCACAGCGTATTCGGCTCGCGTTTATATAAGTTTCGTGGGACAAAAAATGCGCGTAATAATTCACGGTGCGGTGTAAAAATTATACGAATTCGTATCGCTTGCACAGAATAAACGATTCAAACCGCCGGGTACTTATTATTAGTAAGACCGCGCTCTACATCTAACGCAATTAATCCATTCCTCTTTATACGAAAATTACTAGTTTGTAAGGCATTTAAATAGGTGCAAATTATCTTTAAGAGCGTCAAAGTAGCAGGAAAATTTCCAGTCGGGCTCACACAGTAAGAAATAATATGGGACATGATTAAAGCAATTGCAATCATTCGCTCGTTCATACGCACGTTTCCCGACATCATTCACGCGCATTTCCAATATTTCTGTGAGGAACGTAAAATATTTATGTAGATATATACCCAGTTACGAGATAGTGAAATTTGAAACTTTACTACCGAGACCAACAGAGGTTTTCACGAACTGGGATGTGTATCTTTTCTATAAGATGCAGCAATTCATACATGTGTACATCAAATCGTGCGGAACAAGGATGCAAGAGTGCGCGCGCGTGAGAGAGAGAGAAAGAGAAGGGGAAAAAGAGAACAGTCGATGAGATGCACGTCAATATATTTCGAATATTATTTGATCGGACGGGTTAACAGGCCTGCATACCAAAACGCGGATAATTACGAGACAAACGGCCTATCATTGTTTATATACTTTTAATTTTCATGCATTATATAATTGTCTTCACTTTGCGTTAATTCAAAAATTTCGGACGAGGCTATTTTACAGCTCCGTAAACGCGATTGAAAACTGGAAATGAATTTCGGACCGGTAACATGATTTCGCTGCGCTCTCGCCAGGTGATAAACGCGATATGTATAAAATAATTTCGTTAAATTTTTCAAATATTCTATGTTTTATTAAGAGAAATTGCGCCGGACGTTATATGGATAACGTTGTTATCCTTGTGGATAATTGCGATTGTAAGTAATATAAGAGAGAGACGAGGAAGGGATTGTTTCACGCGTCCAGAATTAATATCAAATCTAATTTAGTCCCATTTGCTATATTATATTATATCCGTAATTAATACATGAGTTCCACCATTAAAACAGTAATGGTCGCAGGGGAAGTTTGTTTGCCGTGTATGAAATTACATTTCGTCTGTATCCGTTTCGACTCGCATACACGCGTGGATAGGCAAAGATCAATCCTGCGTTCGGGCGCAACTAATTCCCAAAATCGTATCTGCGTGCGCGCGGCATAGAATATTCGTGATGCTCGTTTACGAATACAAATAAATGATGATTATTTTCGCACAGATAGACAATATATTATTATGTTGACATACGTTCTCTCTCCTCCCTTTGTTTCTCTTGTTCTGGCTGTCCCTGTGTGCTCATAGCCGTCATATCGCGTTACGTACGGCAATCGCCGTTTCATACACACGATCATCATTTCAGGAATGCAATTGGAAGTTAGCGCTGATACACGCCTGACGCAAATCCGGTCATTCTCGCGCTTCAGCGAGCATCAATCGGATCCTCGTCAAATAAATTTGCCGAATTACTTTTGTATGTCGACCACTACAATGGCATTTCGAAACTTTTAATTGGCTCGCCGGTGCGTCGAAAGTCGAGCAGGATACACATGCGTATATCTTGATCCGGGATCGCGCCGATGCACACCGAAGGCTGATAACTGAATCTGGCAAATCATGTCGATTCGTGTGTGATTGCACGTTGAAAGTCGACATGAAATATCGCGGAAAATATTTAAAATAGTTGGTCCCTGACAATATATAATAAACGCACACAAATGCATGCTATAAGAGAAATAGTTTAGCATAATTAATATTATGCTAAACTTTGAAAAGACTTCTAAGATAATTGATTTATGGATAACCTATCTTAGGATATCAGAGTCAACACGTCGTACAGTGAATGTGCTCAAAGGTGGAACGAATTCTGTGCAAAATTTGTCGTTTCTCGATGGAAAACTGGCGTCTAATTATTTCTTCACATTTTCACGAAAAAAAGGATCGTTGATTGTTTACTTTCTCGATATGGCTGAAACGCGATACGGCATGCTCTAATCACACGAATGCCATGCAATTGAGACTAAATATTCAGAGGCGATATTTAAATAGAGACGCGTTATGCGTTACGCGTTATACATCGTACGCGACATTCTCACCGAATGAAGTCGCACGAACGAAAACGCGGTCCAATTGACCCGAATACTCGTGGCCTCGCGGACACGGAACAATGGTCAACCGGTTGTTAGATTAATCCCCGACGTTGCATCCCCAGAGCCAGGCCCCGTCGTCCCTTGACCTTCCCTTATTACGCGCTTCGCCGGAAGAAGCAAGGTTGATTCTCCGTTGGGATTCCGAGAGTTATCACCGTCGCTGACGGGTCTGGTGCGCTCTTGTGACGAATTTTACTAGGTTTTACACGCTGGTGTTTTCCTTCGAAAGCTTCGACATTTGAGTTCCGCATCCTTTGAAAATCTAACGTCTCAGTGTTCAGTATTCGAATTTTGAAAATATCGAAGCTTTGAAACATTGGAATTATAAGATTTTTTAAATGTGAAGAACCTAATCCAACTCGATATTTAATCTTAAACTAATTTATCGCCATCTAATCTAATTCTCATACGCAAGGCTGTAATCTTCGAAGCTTCGAAGCGCGAAATTCGTGTTCTTTGAAGACATACCTTCGAGGCTTCAGTTTACCAAAATTCGAAAATTCCTTTGAAGCTTCGAAACTCCGAAATTACCGAAGATTAATAATCCTAATTTTTATTGTCGCTAAGGTTAAATAAGAAAGAAAGAAAAATCTGCGGGATATAAGAACAAACGAGAGTTGTGATGAGGAGAGAGAGAGAGAGAGAGAGACGAGTCACAGAAAAATATGTCAGAATACCGCTGTCCTCTTCTCCGTATCTCCGTATCTCCGTACTATTCAATGGCAAAAGTTAGGGTTGAAGAGAAGGATCGGAATTACAAGGGGCTGCATTGCGAGGGAAGGGGGAAACGTACGTGTCGCGAGATCGAGCAGTAGTACGAAGAAGAAAAGAGCCGACCGGCTGCGGACGGACGAGGCAGGAGGCTTGGGAGAACGCGAGGGTGCGCGCGAGGGGGTGACTAAAACGTGCGCGAGAGAGGAAGGATCGTATGGTAGAAGAGGAGCAGAGGAAAGCACGGAGACTGCGTGAGAGTTGGAAAACGTAGTTGCGCGGGGGAAGGAGGGGGTGAGGGAGAGAGAAGCGATAGAGCGAGACTCGCGGAGAGAGGGAGGCACCGACAGAGACAGAGGACGAGGGTTGGTTTGCCGAGCTCAGTTACGCCGCGCCCCTTGCGAAGAGCGTTGCACCACACGAGTGAGATCGTAGTACCTTCGCCGCTGAGCACAAGAGAGCGAGATCGTCTTCTCTCTTTCTCCCTCCTCTCTTCTCTTCTCCGCTCTTTGCTCCGCTTCGCCACTTTCCTCCCTCTTTCGCGGATGGTGCGGATAACGCGGCGCGGCTGACGTGCCGGAAAGCTAGCGAAAAGCTTCCGGCTTTGCGAGAAGACAGTGCGCGCGCGTTGTTACGTGTGCACACGTGTCTCTCTATCCAAAAAAAAATCAACGAGCGTTTTCGTCGAAACGCGACGGTGTCTGTGTGTCGCTCTAAAATCTCTCCCGCGCTCTCACTGTCTCTCTGTAACTCTCTCCTTCTTTCTCTCTCTCTCTCTCTCTCTCTCACAGTTCCCCTCTTTCTGTTCCTTGTTTTTCCTGACTGTCACTCTTTCCGCCTGTCGATCGAGAATGCAACACACTGGATGATCCTATCGAACTGTGGATGAGATATTTGGAATAGAAAAAACACGAGGGGGGACAAAAAAGGGCCGAGAGACAAAAAGAAAGAGAAAGACAGAGAGAGAGAGAGAGAGAGAGAGAGAGAGATTCTCTGGTGAACTCGCGGAAGGGTGTGTTTAATGAGAGCCGTGAGAGCGGAAACGTGCGACATGTGTCGAGGGATTATGCCGATTTCTCGGTTCTGTGCGTGATAAACGGAACACACACGTAACCGTGGCACCGGTCGTGACAATTGACTTCGCGTTGGTGCGGATTCCTGTGCGTGTTCGTAAGCACGAACAACGATTCTTCGGCCGCCACCATCGGAGTAGCCACGTTCGGGATAACTCGATTGTGATCTCTCTCTCTCTCTCTCTCTTTCTTTATCGTGCGGCAGTGAGAAGCCGTGTACTTCGCAAGCAGCGAAGAGGAAAACCTCAAGTTGCCGCCCCGACCCAATTTAAATCGCCGATAACAGGCCAATCGTCACAACGATGCTGCGATTCCGAGGAGGCGGCGGGAAATCTGCCGACAAATAAGACGTCATTCGGAGGGAAGAGCGAGACGAGAGTAACTGACGAGTGATCGACGCGCGTGATTCCGTCTCGGAAAGAGTTACCGCGAGTAGTTTCTTCACACGTAAGAAGACGTGAAACAGCGCTGCGTGAAGGGAAAAGGAGGAGGAGAAGAGGGGAGAAAACACTCTGTGTGACTCCGTGCTTCGTACAAAAATTCGGATTGAGCAAAGTGAATTCGAGGAGTGGCTTCCGACGATCCCTCGCTACCTCGGGACCATCTATCAGAGGTAAATAGGTCGTCTATTTCATATGCATGATTTTCAGCCGTTCGACCATGGACGTACGGGGCTTCGCGCCCGATGACCGAGAATCAATTAGACGAATTCTTGCTGCGTTCTCGCTGCGTCGGGGAAAAAAGTCACCCTCGTCATCGCGCGTGAATGATCGTCGGATATGACGAACATTCTCATTCTTGTTAACGTGCCACGCGAAAACACTGCACATCGATGCATTTACAGAATGCAATGAGTTTTTTTTTAAATAAATATACCGTTTTCAATCACTGATAACTCGAAATTTTGCAAAATGGGACTTTTCCGCTGAGTTTCACCCGTTCTACTTGCACGCCACGGGAACCGAGATTAGTTTGGGACACCCTGTATAATACATAATACGGTATATATCTACTGAATATGTACGATCGACGCAATTCCGCCTGAGAAAAAAGCTGCGATTTCGCAAATCAGCCAAGAAGGAAATCCGCGCGTTTTTCCGCGCTCAGTGCACGCCTCGTGCGTCCCCCGTAAAGAACCGCTTAAAAATACGTCGAACATTCGTGAAGCAATTTCAATATCTGCGCCTGTGTATCCACGTTATTATAAATAAACAAGATTTTTTTTAGCCGATGTAATCGCGGCGAAATATCATCACCCGCTTGACTCGAACTCCAACCGCGCGAAAAAGCGTCGTTTCTTTTGGCGAACGATGAAGGGATCTCGCCGGCAGCAAACCCGAATTTAGGGCTTCGCTCCCGCGCTTTTTTAGGCGCGGCAGCTACAACGAACTGGGTCAAAGCGTGCAAGGCGCATCGATACCCTATATCCATTCACAAGCCCCGCGATTTCGCGGGAAAAAAATACGTCCGAATAAATTTAAGTTTCGGCCGGTGCACACACACACACACACACACAACCACACATATATTCAGACACTCACACACCGACGCGCTCTCTCTCTCTCCGACCGCATCCATACATAAATCCAAATCCATTACTTTCGAAAGAGGTCGGGGTTACGCGATGGGATAACGGAAAAGTGGCGTTTCCGAGCGGCGAGGAATCTTCGGTGACACGGACGAGCGATTACGAGCCATCAATTGTACGAATCGCGCCACTCCAGCCAGCCAGGTAAACGCGAACGGATGCGCGGGATATCGAGGACGGAAACTTGAACGAGCTTTTAAGCAGCTAGACTGCCAACGGAAACGTCGGGAGCGCAGCCGATCGGATTCGTTCTTTCGCGACACTTGGAACTTGCTCGATTTCGGCTCGACACAGACGAAGGCGGGAGAAAGGAAGGAAGGAAGGAAAGGAACGAAAGTGTAGACGTCCGAGTTTTAAAAGTCAAACGCGACTCAAGTTTCTTACGAATGCTGGACCGCCACGAGAGAGGATCATTCTCGTGCGCGTGTGCGGGACAGTTGTGTACGACCCGCTATTGAATCGGCTGCTACGTCGAGGTCAGACGACCAAGACTGATAGAAGGAACTTGAACTCGATCGCCGACTTTGTCCCCGATTGCCGATTTCCGTCTGTTAAACGCCTCCCCCTTTACCTCGACGTCCGGTGTCACATATTAGCGCGAATTCGGCCGAATAAACGCGATCCACCCGATTCGAAATTTCGGCAATACGTTGAACCATTGATTCTACAACATTTATCTGTTTTTATAGCAGGTATCTAATACATTGACGGAAATTCATATAATCATTGTAAGTAGTAAGATTTATATTAAAAAGTCAAACTTTTATTTATATATGGAAAAATATCCACGATTTGTACTCAATATTGTCTTAATTTCGTCGATTCATTCATGAGCTTATTTATCAAATCATAGTATAATTGGATGAAATTGCATCTACCAATCTTTTATCTCGCTCGGTCGATCGTTTAATTTCTCTGAAACGCATTCGGCAAAATTCGCTCCTCAGTTCATCAGCGCTTTCAACGTGTTCGCCAAAACGCGCGACAACGCGAGGATACCTCTCGCTCACCGGGAACGACACAATTTCTCTGCGATATAGCAGGCCGAGTAATTTCGAATCATAAACAAAATTGAGACCGTCGTGAGCGACCGTTCTATCAGCCGATTTCCAGCAGTTTTTCACGGCGCGGAACGGCAGCCACCGCCGCTGTAAAAATCCGCTGAGCTTTCCGCTCTTTGTCAAAAGATTGGATGATTAATCATGCCGTCCTATGCCCTCTTGTGCTTTCCGGGCCGCGTGTGTACATCTATATGTACGCGACACGCAGTCATTTCCGCAGCGCTTTCCGCATGCGTCCGATCGTGTGTACGTGCGCCTTTTAGCGAACGAGGATTCATCAATGTCTAAAACCAGGCTGAAGCTTTCGTGAGTGATTGACCGCGGCTAGACCTTGTCGTTCCACGTTGTTTCACTCCCAAGTGTCTAATATTTTCGACACTTCCGTGCGCCTCGAACATGCCGCAATATCCGTGCCGGATTGTCCACGTAATACGGCGATTCCGCTTGAATTAATCGCGAAAATTTTATAACGTCGAAAGAAGTCTTCTCCTTTCTGCGATGATCGACATTCCGGCAATCCATGCGTCACTGTTTATTTAAAGTGAATTCTACACCGGTATGTCGTTACTCACCGAGAATAATAATTTGCGGGTAGAGCTGACACTTCGGACGAGCTATAAAGCATTGGCATATTTGCGTTGCAAAGAATGGGGCGAACTATTTCGAAAGGGACAAAATAAATGTATTCGATTAAATATCAATTTGTGCGTTTTATTGAACGATTCCGGATACTTTTTGAGCAGAAGGTGTGCGAAAAACGTGAAAAATATCGAAAATTCTGAAAGAAAGCCGACATAACAATCATTTCTTTTGTAGCATGTGTGTCTGTCGGTACTAAATCTAGATTGAAGTTTTTACTATTACGCGAGTTTCAACATTTTTACACGCATACATGTAGGAATCGTATACATTCCGCCAATACTGGAGATGAGACGAGGTACAGTTCCGAAGTACGGATTTCAATACCTTGGACTTCTTCGTGTTGTACCAATCCCTCCTAACAGAATTGCCACGGGCCGACTACCTTAATTATCGCCGCGGTGCTCTTCGTGCGTTTTCCTCCGAGCGAGGCACTTCGCAGCCGGGCCGTCCCGTAGCGGACACATCAACATCGTGTAAACCTCCCTCCTCCCGAGTTCGATCGCTTTGCCGTTTAATCCGCGTGAGATAGGTACGTGCGATTAGACGATTCGACGGGAACGAGGAGGCATTCAGTATCTCGTGGGCAGGCTGCTTATCCGCTCGCCGTAACCCACACGCCAGCCGTGTGTAACCCCCGAGAGTTCCACCGTGGATATAGTCGGTAAGCTTATGAGCTTTTCGACCCGCGGGATCGAAGGGCCACCGAACAAGGGCGACATGGCGTCGCGTATATGTATCGCGGTCGATCGATGCCCGCACCTCAAATCGTTTTCCCGCTGTACTGCACAATACATAGTCGCGCGCCACGGTATTTAAGTGCGCGCGTATTCCACCGCGTCGATTGTCGATCGTCCGCAGCTAATTATCGATTTTCCGCGAGGGCGTCACGCTCGAGAGCGACGGGAGTTCCGATTGTGCGTCCTGGATGTCTCCAACGGTCCACTTCTATCCCGATGTCTCGTTTGTGCGAGTTCACGCAGAAAACAAAATAATGAAAGAAATCTGGCGAAAAGAACCGAATCCGGTAAAGAACAAATCATGGAAGCTCGAAATCTATACATGGAAAAATCTGGTAAAATTTCTATGCGGCGAGTCTGCTACCAGAAAATTGATCTAACTGCATTATTTTGTCTCTGGTGGAAGGTTAAGTAAACCAAACGACAAATATGCGCTCGATAATGTGTGCGGATAAATTTGATTACGATCGCCTTTCCGAACTGAATTTCAGAGTTTGCTTCACATGGATCGGGGATTAAAAGGACACACAAAAATCCCGCCGTGGGAATTCGGGCAGGATTATTCGCCATAACTTTGAAATTGAGTTCGTTTAACTCGATTCGGGCTGTTTCCTTTTTGTCCGCCGATAGCTCCCCTTTTTACAGCGTATACACGCTCCTCGAGGTCGGCGCGGGAAATTATACGTGGATCGCTCGACTCCGGCGAGATGAATCGCCCTGATTTATCGTCGATCTACATTCACGCTCACTGTCGCGCTTTTAACGACGCTTTCCACTTCGGTCTCGTCAGTGTTGGCGCCGCCGCATTTGTCGAGAGAAAGAGCGATCGGACGGAATTGTCGTGCACTCATTGTGCGCTGTGCGTGCGTGTGATCGCGCATTAATTTAATAATATCAAAGATACGCCGCAAACTACCGCGCGCGCATTCAGACTATATAATATAATACTTGACAGACGTCCCCGCCTCTCACGAACATCATGAACACATAGCGCGTATTTCATACATAGCTGGATTAATCATGTATCACGTAGCAGACAGCGTGAAATACGGTAGTAATCAAATATAGATGCAATTACGTACAATTGAACCTCCGCGCGAAACGTTAAGCCATCGGTGTACGGTTATTCGGGAAATGATCACTGTCATTGTACATGGATATCGCTGTCGCCATTTCAATTGGAAGGCAAATTAAAATTCTTCATTTTTGCGCGCCCGAATCAACGACGCCGACGACGGGAATATGTCACGTTGCGATGCGCACGTTGCGACGCCTCGATCGTGAAGAAAGAAAACAGAAGAAACCACTATCGCGGATGCTTAATATTCCGTCGGAATGGAATAGGAAATATTAGGACGCACGAAGGAAATATTAACACCCTCGATTATTCATCGGTCGATCGCGGAAACGTCAGCCGATTGCGGGCGGGACTGAACGTTTCTGCGGCGCATTCTGACGCACTTTCGCGTTTCCCCGCCGAAACCTAAATATTTATTCCGAGCGTTTGCAGTGCTTTCCCCCGCGTTTTATTTTTATTTTCATTCTCTTTTTTTTTTCGCGGAACATACCTCGATTTTAAACATAG